GGCAGCGACGTTCTTCTTGGATTCCAATAGCTTCTCTTGTAGCTCGACTACCCTCACCTTCACCTACTCTAAATAGTTGACAATGGATTGAATGTTCATTGGGCCCCCACAAGTTGACCTTGGAGGCTTTCCACATCCTTCCTCACGGTGTCTCATAGGTGAGAAGAAGCCTTTGCTCTCCCTAGCATGTCTTGGGCTAGGTTGTTGTCCTACTATAAAACTATTCAACATCAAGTTAAGAAAATCGACAATTGAAGAAAATTAGAACATGTGCCTATCATGAGGATAACCCAAATCAGCTTTATGTTGAGCACCAAAGTGAACTCGTTGTCGTAGCTCTTTTTGTCATCAAGAAGAAGGATGCCTTGGTCTAGCTCAAGCGTGACCCTCGGGTCTTGGATCCTATTGGCTATTGCCACTGATCAGTCAAGGCTCAACCACAGAGCTAGTGTTTCAATCATGCTCGCATCTTGGGTTGGCACCTTGGTCAACTTGGTGCCCAAGGCCGAGGAAGTCTATTTGCTGAGCTAGGTCTAGTCGCTTGGCACCTCAGTCTCCTAGTCAATAAGGCTAATGTGAACAACCCGCTGGTCTGGTGATCCTTCGACCTCACCTGCCCCTCAACAGTATAGCAACCTCTAGGAGGACTCAACCCAGTTCGGATCAATGCCTCCTCAGCTAAAAATTCGCTAACCTATGACTTCCTGTTGATCGGAATCCTCACCCTCTCTTGCAGGCGATCACTCAAGGTCACCTCACTAACCAACTTAAGGGTCATCTTCCACTCCAAGGTGAAGGGCCACCCACTATTAGTAGCAAGAAAGAAATACTTCATCTTCTAGGTTGGCACTTTGGAAGGGAAGTCTCCCAACAACTTACAACCAAGGTAGTAAGACAAGTAAAAATTAAACTTCTTGTCAGGGTTCTTCTTCAAGTGGCAAAGGCTAGTAAAGTTCTAGAGGATTAAGGGGAAGCCGAAGTTATGATAGAAAGAAATGGTGCCGACTAGGGTCCTAATTAAGTTCAGGTGAAGCTGAGCTAGGGAAATGTTGTAATACTTAAGGACCACGACTATGTAGGGGTGAAGTGGAAATTTGAGCCCAACCTTCAGTGCCTGACTGAAGACATAAACCTCCTCCTTTTCATGCTCCCAAGGAAACTAGCCAAGAGGAAGGGAATAGCCAAACTTGTTGGGAATCTTGTACTGAGATACAAGCTAGAGAATGTCCTCAGTTGTTAACTCCGCTGAACTGAACTCCAACTTGGTCTTGGGTTGCCTGTGAGAGTTCGAGGCTACTTTATGGGAACCTCACTGTTCTTGTTCTGAGGAGGGTCATCGACATAGAYGGCCCACTGCCCCTCTCCCTCAGACTCGCCACCTAACATAATTAAAGAAGGAAAAGAAAATGAAAGGAAAGGCGAAGGCTCACCCAAAGATGCTAAGGAACTGACTGACCTCGCCGACCTCACTGACCATGCTGAGCTCTTTGATCTCACTGACCATGCTGAGCTCTTTGATCTCACTGACCATGCCGAGCTCTTTGATCTCACTAAAGGCAAGTGGAAATGGACCCCCCCACGCTCCATTATTTATAGGTGGAAGACTCGATCCATCAACGATTGTTATTGATTCAACTATGCAGATCCAAAGGGCATGATGGTTCAACTTTTGAGGCATAAAATTTAGTTCAACATGTTTTTGACATCCACAATAGCTAAATTTCACGTCAAGTCCGCATGTGCCCAACATTTGACCTATTAGAGAACCTCGACCATGCAAACCGGGCCGACACTGACTCACAATCTAATGGAACTGCCCTCAAAGTGCTTAAAGAGCTGAACACGAATGACCTACTTCCTTCACTTGAGCCGTTCACCTCAGGCTCAGAAGTGGAGGGCAACTGATGAAGGGTACAGTAAACCCCCAATTGCACACTGCTATGTGGTGACCCAGAACTATCTCAAGACACCTTAGAGTCATACATTGTAGGACCTTGGAGAAATACTTCAAGTCAGACTGGCTTATGCCATTCAAACACTACAAGCCCCGTTTGGAGGCAGGTCAGTAGATCCAACCTAAGCGGCCTATAGTAGCCTCGAGCTACCAGTTCAACTCGGATGACCAATGACTTGACGAACTATCCAACCTAAAAACCAACCTATGTGGCATGGCTCCCCCAATCTGTTCGAGTCACTCGACTTCCACGTCGCCCACTAGCAATGGTTACCTTTGGATATTTTGGTTAACAGGCTGATCGTTCAGGAGTATCCCCTAAGTATTGGTGGTTGAGGCCCATAACTCCCGAATATGTTGGACATGTTATGATAGGATTTTGGGATTTATATAAGGGTGATCCTTCGCTCTCCAATGGTACATTCACACTAGATCTCATACTCTCACTCTCACCCTCTGCTATAAGCTCTCTCTCTCTCTCTCTCTCTCGATCTTACAGCTCAGTACTAACTTGACCATCAGAGCTCCCTCGCTCTGGTCACCTCCYTGGGCTCTCTGACATGTGTTTGCTTTGCAGACCCAACCTACCGACCTTTTTAATTACATCGATCCGAGCTGTTAGTCAAACATGGATCAGCGCAGGTCGTGCTACATCGATCTTGAATTTGAATTCTTCGTGATTGTGACTATGAAAACTTATTCTTTGCTAGAAGCGGTAACAGAGAATCAACAGCACTACGGCTGAGCATTGAGAGAGGGAGAGGCTGAGAGGCAGCGAGCTGGCGAGAGCTTTTCATCCAAAATGAAGCAACGCGTTCTAGCTTTTGTGGCTTAAATAAAATGTCACCTTGTGCTTATATATACAAACTCGTGAGCTTTTGAGATAAATATTTTATTGGTCAAATTCGAGTTTTAAAAAACCAATCAAACTTGGCATGAGATTTAAACTTATTGCCATTAAACTCAAATGCAGTCTAATCAAATTCTAACCCGAATTATTCCATTAAAGCTAAATTCAGTTGCACCCCTATTAGCATTACCAAAAAAATTGCACCCCTATTCATAAAAATATATTTAACAAAAGAATTTCCAAATAATTTTTCTCTCTACTATTATTTGGCCCAAGAATCAATACAATGTTGCCCAGATTTTGGAGCCCATTAAGTGAACCCAACCCACTTAAGCAATTCCTCATAAAAAGAATCATTGGTTCACTGGTCACTGCAGTGTACAAAGAATACGAGTACACATTCTTACCTAAGGATCGTCTACAGTTCTACTCGTAAGCAACTAGGGAAACCACATATCAATTCAATATCACGTGGGTTCTGGCAGTTGTGTCGGTTGCCTTTGTCCTCGTCCTCACGGACTTAGATAATGCGGTGATGGGTACTGATTGGCCCAGTACTGTAATTTTGACGAGGTTAACCGTACCGTCCGAGTGAATAAAACAGAGAGAAAATCTCGGAATTTGAGGGGTTTTCTTGTCGATCTCTGCCCCCTTCTCCTTCTTTCCAGCCCAATTAACTTTTATGATTTTAGATATTGGCTAATTCAGTTTCAATCAAGGCCACATATTGGGTGGAATAATTTCAGCCCATATTTCAGAACTTGGTCTAAAATTTTAGAATATTATTAAATAATATAAATATAAAATACTAAAAAAAATAAGAAAATACTTAAACTGTATTAATGAAAATTTCTAGTAAAATGCCAAAATTTTAAAAAGTTACACCAAGGAGGAAGTTTCTAAAAAGGTTTAAATTTTAAAAATTTAGAATTCCCACCTAAAACCTTGGATGAAAGATAAAATACTCAATAACATAGCCATTAAAAGGAAAAAGAAAAAAAATATTGTGTTTGAGAATCAGAAAAATCTTGGATATTATATTTCAAAAGTCCAAGCAGAATGGGGCAGCCACCACAGGTTTCATGGAACTCAATAATTTGAATGTAGGTCATCATGCTATACAACAACAGCAACCTCTTCTCCCCTATTATAAAGACATGGTACATTTTCAGGCCCACCAGTTAATTACCCACCTACCACATTTTGATCATTTTAAATTTACATATTGAATGGCCATCATCCAATGTTAGTTCTGTCTATCCTGGGTCTTTGGAGTAAAGTGGCAATTTGGGTTGGGTTGGATTGAGAATTTGTTAAATTTTTAATAGGCGTAAAAGCCCTAAAACCCTAATTTAAGGTTGATGTAGTTGAAATTCTTCAAAACAAACAATCTGCTTTGCGGCTTGCCGCGGCCATGTTCATATATACTTGGGTCATTGCTTTGTAAACTGGTAAAATTGCAAGTTCATAAGAATGAAGATGAAATTTAATTTGAGTCTGAGAACAACCACTTTGTACAAGAAAAAGCTGAAGGTTAGGTCTTTTTCCAATCTACCCCTCCCAAGACACTAGATAATGATCCTTAGCCATTCAAATATTAAAAATATAGCTATTAGTCGATGTGATTGCATTTGTAATTCAAGATGTGATTTGGCTAAATCAAGAAAATAGTTTTTTTTTTTTTTAATGCTTTTGGGCTGAACCAACCGGCATTTCCATAATTTATTTTGTTATTGAAGATTAGGCTTTGTTTGGTTGAATGTAAAGTGAAGAACAAAACGAATGATTTTCTCGAAGACAAATCATGTTCCTACTTCTCTCGACTCTTTATTTAATTTAGAAAACAACCCGAGTAGAGGACCAAACTCTGCCTAGAAAATGACTTGCTGAAAGTGGGAGGGAATGTCATTTTCGTTGGTGCTGCTTTTTGGAAATGCTTGTTTTCAACAGTCATTTTACAAGCGATCAAATACCATAAAAATAGCAATAACTTTCAGGAAATTGTTCATTTTTCTTCATTTTATATGCAACCAAACAGAGCCTTAATCTTCCAAAAAAATAAAAAAACTGAAAAACCAATTACTTAATTAATTACAGAAATTCTAGAATATATAAATAAACATCAGCAGAAACTTCACGAAAACCACAAATAGATTTATTTAGAGGTGATGTTCTAATTAGTTACAGAAAGAGCTCTTAAGAAGGATGAACCTTGGATCCCTTGAATGCTGATTTCACTGAAGCAGTGGCGGAAGAGAGTGCAGCTTCCATGTATTTCTTGGACGCAATTGTTGCTGCGCTTTCAATCAACTTTCCCCTCTTCTTTGCAGCCTTTGCCTCTTTTACCAGGCTCTCTAGTTCAGCCTTTGCTGCCTGACCCAGCTCCCCTTCAAAGCTCCTGAAGTCGTCCATGGCCCTCTCCATGACCAAGTTGAGGTAGTCCTCAGCTTCTCTCATGGAGATTTCAGCTTCTTCAACTGCATTCTTCTGTTCAACATCCAGTGCAGCCCATGATCTGTGGGCTTCTACTTCGAAGAATTTCATAAGCTCTTCGATCGTCGAAGGATCGAAGTTCTTGTCCTCCAAAGCCTGGTTTGAGAGGAGAGTGAATTGGGAAAGGAGAGCTTCCATGTTCTAGAGGCTCAAGTGCAGCTCTACCACTCTAATAGTATTCATGAATGTGATGGTGGGGCTCAAATAAAGTGTATGGGTAATGGGTTCTCTGGGTCATTTTCTACAAGATAGAAAAAGGGAGTAATTCGGTGGAAAACTATTACAACTTTTGAGAAGACATCTCTGCCCACAATGAACCCACATATTCATCTTCAAACAATTCAAAGAATTGGTCCTGTTAGTGATCTCTTAACACCTTGTTTGTTTAGGCTGCGTTTGGAAAAGATGCAAATAAGTGTGAATACAAATATATAAAATGTAAAACGATTCATATAAATTGCATTTTTTGATTGCAATACAAGTGAAATTGCATTGTAAAGAGACAGAGCCAAGGCTCAATTTGGTTGCCGTACAAATTTCATTTGCATTAGCATAAATGGATGGAAGTGCAAATAGGCTGAGTGTAAATTCTTGTTTACTTTGGCTTCATATTTGACTTTATTTATTTGTGAGAAATAAATAGCAAGTAAGGTGATGTTGTCCCCACGTGAAGTGGGGAGTTAAATGATGCAATGGCCACTTTATATGAGAAAGAACTGATGTAGGTGGTGTAAATTTTGCATCAATTTTTAACTAAGATGCAAAATTTATACTGTCAATGAATGCAAATGATACAAAAAGGACGAATTTGGTATCAGATAAGAGTACAAATCATGATTACAAATAAATGGATGCAAAGCACTAAACTAGGTGTAAAAATTGTACCCATCCAGTTTAGATTGGCAGTGCAAACAAACAGAAGCCTAACTGGCAAATAGGTCTAAAATGCATTAGAACAAAGGGGGAAAAAATCTTAGTTGGGAATACTGCAAAAAGGTGATTGTGAATCGAATTTCTAGGAACAAAAGCCTATAGGGGTTTTTTCATCCCTGCTTTTCTTTTGAGTAATAAAAATTGCAACTAGTGATGCAAAGAATCAATTTTGTCCACCAAAAAGAGAAGAAAATGGGACAGCAGGGAGGTGGACTTTCTTATCGGCTAGCGGTGGGAATCTGAACTGGTGGGCCTAAGGGCCATATGAGCCCATGACCCTAAAGACATTGTCTAGCAACTGGTGGCTCTTTTAAATTACTTAATAATTGTGGATTTTGCAGTTTGTGGCCACCGGCTCGGTTGGTGGCATTACTTCCTTACTTGGAGTCCCAACACTGTGCACGGCAACAGGCTGGAAAGGTATCTCATTGCTAGTGCCAAATACAGGCAGCCCAGTTGCAGGAGCCTTTTAAAGCAGGTTGCCCATTGGCCGGTCCCCCTCCCAAATGAAAGGGTTTAGGGGAATTTTCTAATAAGGCCAGAGAGGAGAGAGAGAGGAAAAAGCTCTATGACCTCTTTTCATTCACTCTAGTTCTACCTACAGAACACCACCACTGTCTCTGGAACATCCTCCATAAATGACAAGGGAGATGTCATTTTCCTCATAGGGGTTTTAAATTCAATGGATCGGGTTTGGTACATGTTGGTTTAACATGAATCTGAGGCCCAAAGCAACCTAAACCCGAACCAACCCGAGCCCAATCCAGTTAAATAAAGAGAAGATATCAAACCCACCCACCCCATCTTATATACATCTATACTCAATCAACCTTAAATCAAGGTTTTTAAAATCGACCCAGAGAATGAACCGGTCAGGGGTCCGGTTTCCAGGTTGAATAGTCCAATCGTTTGAAGGAATGGTCGGCCCATTCTAACAAAAAAATTAAAAAATTAAAAATTAAAAATAAAAAAATGTTCAAAACCGTTCAAATGGTTCACCGCCCGGGTCAGTGGTTTGCTGACCAAAATCAACGGTTTTTWAAAAAAAAATCTAGTTTTGGGGAAAACCGGAACCGATCACCTGACTATTCCGGTTTTTCCGATCCGGTTTTGAAAACCATACCTTAAATTTACAAATATTTCATTGCTACAATATCGTTGGTTTAGCATTCATTTCAACCAAAAGGTCCAAAACTAAACTAAAAACCCAATTAAGGTTGACTCAACCCTAACCCGATAGGAGTGGGTCAGTGCAGTTTTACCAATTAACCCTACCCACTGACATGTCTATCTCAATTGTTCCGCCTTTGTTCCACAAGTGGAAGGATGCTGCTCCATGGGTTCTTTTGGAAGCATATCCTCAATTACTCAGCCTTGTGGATGAAAGATGCTGCTGGAAACCAACGCAAGAGATGGATGAAGCGCTACGCTATTGATGAAATGCTTTGTCCAATCGAACTAACTGGTTGGTTGCTCGTCAACCCTCGGGAAGACGAAATGTCTCAATAGAACTAGTGAGGTTCTTCATCAAGTTTTACCCAAGTTTGGTTGGGCAACGTAAGTAAGGCTGTGTTTGGTTGTTTGAAAGAAGGGAAGGAAAAACTTTTCTATTCAGTTTTGTTTTGCATTGAAAATTTTACAGTATTTCGTTTGTTTGCTATGGGTGCAAGGTAAATATAATTTTGCTGTTACGTTGTTTGTTTGTTGGATATTATTACCTTGACAATGGACGTTTGTTTGTTTGTTTATTTGACCGTTGGTCTCCTTTCATTGTGTGGAGGGAATCCTATTTTTTTACCTTGACAATGGACGTGTAAAGTTGGCAGTCTTTTTGGTCTTTTGGAAGTAAACCTTCTCTAAAAGAGTGCAAACATAGTAGGAAAAAGTATTTTATGCGAGGTGAATTTGCACTCTTACCAAACAGCTGCAAAAATGAATCAGACTGCAAATTTGTCTCAGTTTGACATTTGCATTCTTAGCAAATGCAGCATTAAAAGTTTAAAACGCCATAGTACCAAATACCATAGATTCGGCCAAACCCAATCAGAAAAATTATTGTTGGGTTGAAAATTGAGCTAGGGTCAGTACCTGAAAATGCCAACATGATTTGATATTTAGTTGGGTTGGTGTTGTCGAAGGCAAGGCAAACCCCATGAGTTATGAACATATTTATTTGGACATTTGGAGAAAAGGACTAATTGAACTTGATAGATGTTTTACAGGCTTATGCACTTTATGGCTGGCTGTGGCCGCGTGGGATGTTATAATTTGTTCCACATCCCATAAAACAGATATCAAGTTTCAGTTAATCCTCTCTTAACGTAGAGGTGTAAAACGGGCCGTCTTGGGCCGGTACGACACAGCCCGCGCATTGTACAGGTTAGAGTTGGCCTGTAGGTCATAACAAGCTGTGTTTCTTTTTTCTTGAGGTATTTTGGGGGATCAGCCCGGTATGGCCCATGGCCCGAGTCCGCATAGTTCCCTGTCGGGCTGGATTGGGTTGATCCATGGGCCGAGCTTTGGGATAAGCTAGGCCGTGGGTTATACCAAAGTTATTTATTTAAAAAAATTGTAAAAAACTTAAAATTTTAATTTTATATGAATTTTGATGTATATAATTGCTTATGTATATATAATAATTAAATAAAATAAAAAAAATGTTTATTTTATTAATATATTATATACTATATATTATTATATAATTATAATTTATATTATATATATGGGCCATATCGGGCTGGGTTGTGCTAGCCCATGGGCCATAGGCGGCACGATATGACAGTGTGGGTCGTGCTGGCCTGGCCAGCTGACCTAAAACCCAAAGCCCGGCACGCCCATCGACCCATACAATCGTGTCGGGCCGCTGCACAGCTCGTGAACCTTCAGGCCAGACCGGCTCAAAATCGTGCTACGCCACGGGTAGGATGACTCAATTTACACCTCTAGCTTAATGAAATATGCTTGCCCAGGCACACTTTGTAAGTGGGATAAAGAACTAAGAATTTAGGATAACGTTCAATTCAAACTTCAAAGATTGCCATAAGCAAACAAAGCTGAATCCGGGTTTTCTCCTCACAAAGTGTGCTTCACATCAACCTTACAATGCTTTCAGTTGTGCATTGAGAAAATCTCATGAATTTGATGTTGTCATTCTTGGGAAGATGCTTCCTATGCGTTGTATTGTGAGGTTGGTGTGAGGAGTGCTCTGTGAGCTGGGAATAAATCTTTGCCAGATGTGTTTTGTTTGAAGGAAAAAATAGGGAAAAGGGAGAGGTGGGAAACCCTTTACAAACCTTGTATAGGTTTCAATCCTTTCCCTACCTTTTCCTTCAAACGAAACTTATTAGGTTTCTTGATTGAGTCACATCTGGCCAATGGGAAGTTGTGATGAGTTTGGCAACTAATTAGGGTATGTTTGGTACTGATGGAGGAAGATTTGACCCAACCCCTTGAGACAATGACACGTGGACCTAACTCAACACGAGCAACAGCTTAGCACCGCAGCCTGGTTGTGACTAAGTAACGGGCCTGCAGGACAGCTCGCTACGTCATAGCTCGCTATAGGGGGAGCCCGCTACCGTGCGAGCTCAAGCTCCCTCGAGCTACCGAAAGGGAATACTCCAAGACTATCCCAACCCGTGAGATAGGGTAACCAGCTCACTCCAACACTTAAGCAAAAAAAAAAAAAAA